TTATTCGATTGTCGGCCATGAATTCAACTACTTTTGCAAGTACATGAAAGAGGAAAGAAGAAAAGAACTTCTTTTTTCTGTTATATTGTAAGGGCATATTCAATGCCATTCCACAACTTTTAAGTACGAATCTGTGTACTGTTTGAGTTCTAACCCATACTTGTCATGGGTAATATCATTATGGTAGATGATACAAGTTCTTACCCAACTTTAAGCTTCATGCTGCTATGCTAAATAATATTTCATGGTACCAATATCACTGAACTAATGATGCAAAGACACATGTAAGGAACATCATGTCAGCCTTGACTTGATCTATTCATCAATTTTGACGCAAGTTAATATGATCCCCCCTTAGTTGACTCATAAAACAATATGACGGAGCAAAAAACTACCATTTTAGTGATATAATCTTATGTTGTTTTTAGCATACTTCCTGGAAGGGAAGGTACTTTCTTGACATTAACTTCTACTGTGTACTTGGAGAAACTCATGGCACAATACAAGTTTGTGCTTACATTCGCTGTTATTTATTTTCTGATGTCCTAATAGTGTCAGCATTTACCGCAAATTCTTTTGGTTCTTTGGTAAAAAAAAGTGTATTTATTACTTTAAACCTATGCTTGGTTTTGTTTGGGGTGGGGGGGGGTGCAATTTTTCCCATCCGTTTTCCCTCCCTTCTTTTCTCAAACATAGCTTAGACATTTTGTAGCTTTTTCATATATGAGTAAAGAAGCAGATCTTGAGCATATTTCTGTTAGTTTACGTGTGCATTTCTTATTGACAGTATGGATAACCAAAGTGTTGATCGCGCCTATCGAATTGGACAGATGAAGGATGTCATTGTGTATAGGTTGATGACATGTGGAACTATCGAGGAGAAGATATACAGAAAGCAGGTTTTGTATTGTTGAACTATGCTATGGTCTCAATTGGTGCGATGGAAAGATATTTTCGGGGCTTGTATGCAATTTAAGATATTTTCGGGGCTTGTATGCAATTTAAGATAAGAGAAATGACTTAAGAACTGTTATGGTAAACAACGTTATTATCATGGAGCAGATGTTACTATGAAATGCTACAATCAGGAGCCTTAGGTGTTTCACTAGAATTCTTTGGCTTTCGTGTGTTGATGAGCACAAACGATGCATGCCTCAGAAGTACTGGATATATCTGCTACTCCATTTGTCACTGCACGCGTTATCAAATGAACAATCAAGACAAGATTTCTTTTCTAGTTTTCTCATAAAAAGATAGTATCTTATATAATGCATTTGCATTTGTTCTTTTATGAGTGAGTGGCTCACTATATTGTATAAGTAGTGTATTGCAAACATGCAATACTTTCTCAAGGGCATGGAAACCACATGGGACGGAATGTGCCATGATACCCGTCATTTTATTGTGGGGCGTAAATTCGGAAAATGTGTTGATTCGGAGGGCTATTTATGTTGGAACTCCACTATTGTAGATTCTTTTCGGAGCTAGGTACCTCCATCATCATGCAGCAATTGATTCAAGCATAGGCCTTAATCAATGTTAAATATATATTTTAGCAATTAATTTTGCTGATAATTAGATTTAAAATCGAAATCGTCCCTAAACAATATTTGTAGCAAACATACTGACAAAAAAAAAATTCTTGGCAAATTAGCGACGAATTTTGCCACATATAGATTTCGTCGCAATTTAGCAAAAAAAAAAAAAAAGTGCCTTCGCAAATTAGCTACGACTTTTGCCACGAATTACGCTGTCAGGGCAAATTAAGCTACTAGATTTGTCACGAATAAATAGCGACGAATTTTGCCACGAACCGTATTCGTGGGCAAAATTAGCGACGAATTTTGCCACGTGGCTAATTTTGCCACGAATTTTGCCACGAATATATTCGTGGCTAATTTTGCCACGAATTTTGCCACGAATATATTATTTCCTAATCTGGCAAATTAATTTTGCCACGCGTAATTAGCTGCAATTTCATGGAATATATTCGTGCGCTAATTTTGCCACGAATAGCTTCGTGCAAAATTAGCGACAATTTTGCCACGAATAACTAGGGACGAATTTTGCCACAAATACAGCTTCGTAGCAAATAATACGAATTTTGCCACGAATAATTAGCGACGATTTTTGCCACGAATAAAGCTCGTACAAATAGCGACAATTTTGCCACGAATAATTAGTCACGATTTTTGCCTTCGAATCATATTTTCGTGGCTAATTTAGCTACGAAAATTGTCACGAATTTTTTTTCGTCGCAAATTAGCGACTTAAAATTGAAATTTTTTCGTCACAAAAATTTGCGACGCCGAATTAGCCACGAATTTTTTCGTGGCTAATTTCGTCACGCAAAATCATTTAATACGAATTTTTCTAATTTTTCGTGACAAAATTCGTGGCTAAAACCTTGTTTTTTTGTAGTGTCAACTCCAATGCACATCAATTGCAAGAAAGAATAATTAGAAAATTAGTAAGAAAATGAAGAGCAAAGGTTTATTACTTACTTGGGTCCCTCACATTTGAGTCTACAAAGTCAGATTATTATCGTCAACTAAACTCATTTTATCATATCGAATCAATACATTTCAAGAGCAACAAGATTACGGCGTTTCTCATGGTAAGTATCGTCGAGATTCATTCATTCTAGTCTAAGCCAATTACGTATGAAATCCTACTAAAAGTTGAAAATTTCATACATAATTTACACACCGTGATTGATCTGTCCATCACGCGCCTATAGGATGAGTCGATACGATATGTTTTGTGGATCGTGTAAAAGATGCGGGTTCTCATACAAATTCTATATTTGAATTGGTTGTACAAACCGAATCGGGATAGGTTTAGATATTATTTTCTAGGGCAGCACCAGGTGGCCCAGAACACCATCAGATCACAATTATGAAACTCCGTATGAGATTGGTTAGCTAGTTAAAAAAGCTATTAATGGGCCGTGAGATATCACAGGTGGGTGATTTTGAAAACTACTGAACGGAGAATTGATATCAACTTATATTGGAGGCTTTAAGTGCAAGGGAAAACAGTTCAAAAATGTCAAAACAGTTCTATCATAACCCCTCGAGCTCAGCACGTTTCTTGACTGCATCAGGGGATTTTCACGCTCAGGAATTGGAGGACGCGTATCTGAATCTCACCGTCTGCATGCAAACTGCTCTGGATTGGGGCCGTCTATTCGACCCGGGGCTTAACTAATTTGTGAAATTTGTAGGGTGTCTCATCTCATGAGCTTCCAAGTAATCGACTCTTTACGCTCGTGCCTGTAAAAACAGCTATTGACGAAGGCGTATCCAGGGAGGAGTCCAGCCTTGAACTGCCTGTTGAAGGGCTACATTATTTTTTATAACTTTTTTTGTTTTTTTTTCTCTTTTTAAATGTTTATCAAAATTTGTCTGTCTTACTTTTCATAATTAATGATCAAATAAGAAACATTTCTCTTAATATGGTTGTTTATATATCTTGCAAAATAAGGAGGAACTCATAACCTTTCATAAGACTAATTTTTGTTTTAGTAAAACACTAATGCAATAATTAATTTTGACGAGCTTATGAAATGATGAACTTACACAAAATATATTAAAGAAAAATTTATTAACTAAAATTATTTCAATAAAACTCTTACTACTCGACAACAAAAAAATAATCTTTACTACTTTACGTTTTATATTAATTTATTATGTAATAAGAAATAGGGATAAGTTGACTAGAAGTCCAAAAACTTGTCCTAAAAGTGCAATTGAGTCTTAAAACTTTCAAAAGATGCAATCAAATGCTAAAATTTGTTATGAAAATGCAATTGAGTCCTAAAACTTTCGAAAAATTTAATCAAGTCATAAAACTTGTCAAGTTGATCCGATCAAGTCCTTCCATTAACTCCGTTCAATTTGCTAAACAGGAAATGCTAACAAGTTTTAGGACTTGATTACACCAACATGACAAGTTTTAGGATTTAATTGCACTTTTTGAAAGGTTGAGGACTCAATTGTACTTTCGTGACAAGTTTTAGGATTTGATTGCATTTTTTAAAAATTTTAGGATTCGATTGTACTTTTTATCAAATACTAAATGAACCTTTAAGTTAAATACATCGAAACTCTGGTTCCTCACCGAAGTGATAACTTTCAGGCACACCTTTTCAGACAGTAGATGCGTGTTCAGGAACACATCGAAGTCGGATCGCTTGAAACAGTCCAAGAACCTGAACCTGTAACTAATGCAGAACATGGGCCATGTGGACTATGCATTCATTTTTTTCAGGTTTCATCACTGCAACAAGCAGCGTACGTAGGGACATGTTTTGCCAGACGCTTGACCATAACGTCCCTGCTTTTCGAAGATCAGGGACGACGTTTTAATGACATCCCACCACAGAGACGCCGAGGGACAAGTACACAGAAACCTTGAATGAAATGACAGTAAAGTTTGACAGAGCTACTTATCAACTTGCATTACTAGTCCACCGAGCAGAGAACTCTCAAATCTATGACGAGCGCTTGATTTGAATAGGATTTTGCACCGCTAGTAATTTTCCAAAATTAGATGGTTTGATGCATGCAGCTAACTCATTTGCAGGAATCATCGGAGAATGCTCACCAATGTCTGCTAGAAGTTTAGCCCTGTTGTACTTGTCCAAATGAATAAGCAAATCTAGAAGTAACAATTGCACCAAAAACATGTGCCGACTGTCATGGAAACAATCACATTGGTGACATCATTTGCATTAATGCATCTACTAATAGAAGCTCATGATGCAATATTGTTTTAGGAACATTACCTACAGATGAACACTTACTAATGAAACCGTGATATTGAAAAAGAGGGAAGTTCTGGTTCCCCTAATGATGCAAAGAAATTTTGAACTTCACAGTGATTGTACAATTCCAAAGTCGGCAAGCTTCCCTTATATATTGGCAAAAAATTTCAGTGGTCACAATGTTTGCTAAGTCTTAAGAAGTGGTAATCCCGTCTTTAGGAGAGTAAAGAACTTTGCAACATGTCACGCTGATAATAATCTGATATACTTAATCCTCACTTAACTACGAAATTTGTCATTTACATAATTATAGACAAGTTAAAGGGGCCATCTGTGTACCTTGAGTACTTGGGACATGGAAAATCTTGGCAAATACATAGATAACTCATCATAAATTGCAGCAGACTTTTTCCAGACCTTAAGATGATGGCTATCCATATATTCCTGGAATGATAGATGTTTAACGATTTTGCATATTGTTACAAAAGCGACAAAACACGGGCAGCCCTCCTACCAATATGACTTTCATCATGAATGTTCCGGCCAGTCATGCCAACGAGAAGCAATTTAGCCGTTGATCCATAGTGTTCCACTATATCCTTTGAGTGGAAAATCTTCTCCAAGAATCCCAAAGCCTCTTCCTTGAGTGAATCCATTCTCCATGTGAAGATCTCCAAGAGGGGCTTGATTGCATTGGCTTTGTGCAGAGTGCTCGCACCTCTGTTGGGAGATCCTTCCCTCACCAGCATTGAAGGTGCCTGAATTGCGTCATATGCTGTTGCATGAACCTGTATCCTCAAGAGTTCATCTAAATCAGGCAAAGCATTGGCCTCCAGGAGACAGAACGTAGAGGCAACACTACATTTGCTGCCATGGGCTGGGCATAGATGCACACGTGCACTGAAACACCAACAAAAGCTAGGTTTAGTGGCCATAACGAGCCTTGGAGTGCTCATTGATAGATTACCGATGAGAGCTGCTGCTCTTGCCTTGGCCGTCACAGAACCGACCCGGAGAAAGTTTACTAGTAGAGGATAAACTCCTTGCTCGACCACAATACGCTGTGACTCCACATTTGCGGGGTCTGTGAACCTGAAGAGTGCGCTAAGGGCATTCTCTTTTGCTTCCATGGTTCCTGATCTCAATACTTTCACAATCTAGAAAAAGTGAAAGGATATAAGACGACTTCCTTCCGTGGTTTTAAGAACTTTATGTAATGTTATATTAGTGGATATTCGAAAATACTTTGGTTCCGTTCAAATTTTTTGCTTATTTTGGCAAGGAACCTAGAAATTGATTCATGCGATTTTGCATGATTATTGAGGATGATGAGTGGCAACTTTGAGAATGAATATTCATTTAAGAGGGGTAAGTTAAATAAAAACAAATATAGAACCAAACGACTTCCAGAGCAAGTGATTTTGATAAAAAATTTTGGAGGTGTGTTGATTATAGAATGATTATTATCATTTTGCGTGATTTGAACGATTATTATCATTTTGGGTTAGTGTTTTGAATTTATGTTTGACATATTTCGATAGTGAAATTTTCTTTTAACTTGCAAGAGATCTTTTACTGAACACAAGTCTGTCAATTTATAAAATGAGTCAGCCAAATGCCAAGTGAAAATTGCAAATCTTTTAATTGACATCGGGGAATGTCAGACAAATACATTAAGTTTTTTCTTGTATGACACCATATGTTAAATGTGGTTTCTTGGATTTTTAACATAATTTTCCTCTGCCATTTTCACTTTGACTGGTTTGCTTCTTTTCTGTTTTTAAGCATTTGTACATTTTCCATAGATACGAATATAAGATCAAATCTCCAATATTTTTTCAGAAGAAAAAGTTCAAGATTTTTGTTTTGTACTTTGAATATCAATCTCTTGCTTAGAAAGTTCTTTGTTGTAGAGTAACTTGATTCGTTTGCCAGAGTTTTTTGGCTTTTCAACCTGTTTGGTGATCTTTTGTAACATGAACATCTTAATGAAATATATGAAGTGTTTTTTGGGAAAGTACCTTTTCATATGATGATTCACTATTGCTTATCTTGCACCGGAGCTTTTCTTTACCATTTTTGCTTTTCTAAATGCTGCATCTGATTTCCTTACTCTGATTTATACCTGATTTAGTATGTCTTTTTATGCCAACTTCCATCAGTGCTTTTCTTTACCATTTTGCTTTTCCAAATGCTGCTTCTGATGGAATTTTTTCCTTAATCTGATTTATACGTGACTCAGTATTTGTCTTTTTATACCATTTTTCTTTTAAAGAACGTCAAGCAGGAATCTCTCTCTTAATAGCATTATGAGCAGCAAGTTTTCACATCTCTTTTTTGCCAAATAAGTTAAAACTCTTGTAATCTCCTTTTGAATATATCCCTTTTTTATTGGAAGTTCTGATTTTTCGTAAAAATCTCTCTCTATTGTAAAGAATTGTGAGACTCTTGTTTTGTTTTAAAGAAGTTAATCTTCTTGATTTTAAGTTTTCTGTTAAAGTGCAACCAGATTTAAAGTTTTCCATCAAAGTGGTTTCTAAATGTTGTAAATGATGGCAATTTTTTTCCTTAATCTGTTTTGTAAGAGACCTATTATTTGGAAGCAGCTTATGGAGTTTAAATTTGCTTTTAAAGAGAAACACGCATATTATGTTAGATTATAAGAAAAGTTTCTCGAATCTATTTCTCAATTGCTTAGTTTTCAAATATGTTGTTTTTGCCCAAAAAAAAGAGTTAACTTTGTTTTCTCCTTTTGAATATTTTCTCTTTTTTAAAGTTCTTTGTTAAAAAAATAGACTTTCTAAATTCTATCTATGTTCTAAATAGTTGTGATACTTTTGTTTTGACCTTTTAAAGAGAAACATGCATATTGTGTTATTAGATTATAAGAGAAGTTTCTCTAATCTATTTCTCAATTGCTTAGTTTTCAAATATGTCGTTTTTGCCAAAAGTTAACTTTGTTTTCTCCTTTTGAATATTTTCTCTTTTTTTAAAGTTCTTTGTTAAAATAGGCTTCGTAAAATCTATCTAAGTTTTAAATAGTTGTGATTCTTTTGTTTTGACCTTTCTAACTAAGTTTTCTGTCAAAGAGTAACCGGATTCAAAGTTTCTCGTGAAAGTTGTTTCAACTGTTGCAAATAATGGGAATTTTCTTCCTTACTTTGATTTGTACGAGACCTATTGTTTCCAAACAGCGGGAGTTTAAATTTGCTTTTAAAGAACGTCATGCAAATTATTTTAGATTCTATCACAAGCTTTTTCAATCTATTTCTCCATAACTTTATGGGCAAAAAGTTTGCCCGTATCTCTTTTTTGTCAAAAAACTGAAACCTTTATTTTCTTCTTTTGTATACTTATTTCTTTGTTTTGAAAGTTCTTTGTTAAAGAAATTTCCTAATACGTTTCTCTATTTTAAAGAATGTGAGACTTTTATTTTGTTTTTTCTACATATAAACTTCTTGATTTAAAGTTCTGTCTTCAAGTAACGGGATTTAAAGTTCTTTTATTTAGTCTTTCTAAATGTTGCGAATCTTGCCTTTTTTCTTCCTTACTCTGTTTTGCACCAGACATACTATTTCTTGAACAACATTGGAAGTTTAAATTTGCTTTAAAAGAACATCATGCAAATTCTTTTAGATTTTATCACAAGTTTTTCCGATCTATTTCTCAATAGCTTATGGATAGAATGTTTGCAAGTATCTCTCATCTCCAAAAAAACTTGAACTTTTGTCTTCTCCTAATGTATACTTATTTATGTGGTTTAAAAGTTCTTTGTTGAAGTGATTTGCTAATATCTCTCTCTGTTTGAAAGAATTGTGAAACTTTTCTTTTGTCCTGTTTTTTTTCTTGGTCAGATTTGTTTTGGCCTCTTTAAATTTTAACTTTGTGATTTGTTTCCAAATGTTGCAAATCTTGGTTATTTTCCTCTTTACTCTGTTTTGTACTAGACCGACTACTTTTCAAACAACATTGGGAATTTAAATTTGTTATTAAGGAATGTCATGCAAAATATTTTAGATTCTGGCACAAGTTTTTCCAATCTATATTTCAACCTCTTTAAATTTTAACTTTGTGATTTGTTTCCAAATGTTGCAAATCTTGGTTATTTTCCTCTTTACTCTGTTTTGTACTAGACCGACTACTTTTCAAACAACATTGGGAATTTAAATTTGTTATTAAGGAATGTCATGCAAAATATTTTAGATTCTGGCACAAGTTTTTCCAATCTATATTTCAATGGGTTTATGAGAAAAAAGTTTGCTAGTATCTCTTTTTTTGCCAAAAAACTACGAACTTATTTTTTTCTCCTTTTGTATACTTATCTCTTTGTTTTAAAAGCTCTTTGTTAAAGATATTTCCTATTTTCTCTTTGCTTTTTTAAAAGATTTGTCATCACACAGCTCTTTTCGACCAAAGTGGCATTTCAATCAATAGGCATCCCAAAATTATAGGGACCATTCCATAGATAAGCATTTTAATATTATAGCATCTACTCACCACAAATGAAACTTTGCCAAAATTACACAAATCGCTTTGACGTCAACCTCCAACCAATAATCGCCCCAAACTCGAAAAACCATTCCGCTGTTGACCTCAAGTCATCACCAAAAATTGTACAAATCATCCTGCAATCAACTAACAAGATCAATATAGCTGCTGAATCTCTTATTTATACAAAGACCCGGCAAACGTGATAAGAAAAATGACTGGAGTGGGTAATCACAAGATGATCTTAAAACGAAGACAAAATTTCAAAGAATTTCCTTCTTGACATACCTCTCGAAATAATTTATATATTCATTAAGACAAAGCAAGGTCAAGCAAGAAAACCAATAATAAGGGGAGAAACAAATGAGTCGAATATGTCATTTCACAACATACAAATCGCAGAAGTAGAGAGCATACTAGGACTTTCTAATGTTATAATGGTTAGTCAGCAGCACATTTCTGCCAGATGTCAATCAAAATCCATCCTTGTCCACCATCCTTCACCCACCACCAGTTGTTTCATACTGTATTTTCAGTTATCTCTCCATAATCAATCTTATCAATCAGCCATCAAAAACCATTTTCCGGATCACCACATGGAGACCTCGAGAGCATACTAGAGCTTTCTAACGGTATAATAGTTGGTCAACAGATTTCCACCAGATATCAGTCAAAGCCATCCTTGTCCACCATCTTGCATATCTATTTTTAGTGATCTCTCTATAATCAATCTTATCTGTCAGCCACTGAAAAACATTTTCCAGATCACCACATGGAGACCATGTTTGTGGCTCTCCAATCTAAATACCATCAATGGACATATAAATCCTTCTACACGTCACTAGACCACATCATCACTTTGTCCTTTAAAAGCAAGGTCAAGCAAGAAAAACAATAATAAGGGGAGAAACAAATAAGTAGAATATGTCAATTCACAACTACAAATCGCAACATACAAATCGCAGAAGTAGAGAGCATACTAGGGCTTTCTAATGCTATAATAGTTAGTCAGCAGCATATTTCCACTAGATATCAATCAAAACCCATCCTTGTCCACCATCCTTCACCTACCACCAGTTGTGTCATACTCTATTTTCAGTTATCTCTCCATAATCAATCTTATCAATCAGCCATCAAAAACCATTTTTAAGATCACCACATGGAGACCTCGAGAGCATACTAGGGCTTTTTAAAGGTATAATAGTTGGTCAACAGATTTCCACCAGATATCAATCAAAACCATCCTTGCCACCCATCTTTCGCTCTATTTTCAGTGATCTCTCTATAATCAATCTTATCAGTCAGCCATCAAAAAACCATTTTCAAGATCACCACATGGAGACCTTGTTTGGGGCTCTCCAATCTAAACACCATCAATGGACATATAAGTCCTTCTACACATCACTAGACCACGTTATCACTTTGTACTTTAATTTTGCTAACCCAAGAAAGCCAAGATAAGTCAAAGATTAGCAGCCTAGGTTGTGCAAATAGGTCAGCAATAGACAGACCCCGTGTTCACCAATTCCCGCAGCATCAACTTCCTCTTCCCCAAATTAACCATCTAATGCTCCATCCCCATCCAGACATTCTCCTCCATTAGTTAGCCCACAAAACCACTTGATCATCTATAAAATAATGAGTGAGAGAAATGTGACATTGTCAAATGCCAATTCGGAACCTTGTTGACAATGCTTTCTCAACACTCAAGTAGATCATCTTACTTATATTAACTACCATCGCTATGAGATATTTGAAATCTTTTGGTTCGTAAAGCAACTGAGAAATAGATTCAACAAACTTGTGATATAATCTAACATAATTCGCATTATGTTCTTTACAATCAAATTTAAACTCCAAATTTTGTTTCAAAATAACAGGTCTTGGTAATATATAGAAAATTGCAATCCAGTTACTCTTTGACAGAAAACTGAAAATTAAGAAGTTTCACAACTCTTTAAAACAGACAGACATGTTACAAATCTCTCTAACAAAGAACTTTTAAAAATGGAAAAGGAGAAAACCAAAGTATAACTTATTTTGCAGAAAATGATATTTGAAAACTTCCTGCACATAAACCTAATGAGAAATAGATTGAAAAACTTGTAATAGAATCTAAAATAATATGCATGACGTGCTTTGAAAGCAAATTTAAACTCACAATGGTTAAATTCTTTGAAACAGAGAGATAATAGGAGATCTCTTAACAGAGAACTTTTAAAACAGAGATAAGTAAACAAAACTAGAAAACAAAAGTTCATGTTTTTTGGCAAAAAAAAGATATTTGCAAACATACTTGCTCATAGAGCTACTGAGAAATAGTTTTTTGGCAAAAATGAGATATTTGCCATAATCTGCAAGATGTGGAAACTACATTAATGAAAACATTCAATCCAGTCACTCAAAGGCAGGAAACTCAAAATCAAGAAGTTAATATATAGAAAGGACAAAACAAAAGTCTGACAATTTTTAAAACAGAGTGATTAGATAATCTGTTTAACAAAGAACTTTTAAAACAGAGAGATAAGTATACAAAAGGAGAAATAAAATTTTTAAGTTTTTTTGGCCAAAAAGAAATACATGCAAACCTTCTGCTCATGAAGCTGTTAGGAAAAGATTAGAAAATTCCTAATACAATCTAAAATAAAAATTGTATGACTTTCTTGAAAAGCAATTTCAAATTCCCAATGTTGTTTGAAAATAGCAGGTCTTGCACAAAACAAAGCAAGGAAGAAAATGCCAATATTTGCAACATTTGGAACGACATCTAAAAAAATATTTTATATCTGGTTACTTGAAGACAGGAAACTTAAAATCAATAAGTTAATATTTATAAAAAAAAACAAATAAACGTCTCACAATTTCTTTAAAATAGAGAGATATTTTAGGAAATCAGTTTAACAAAAAACTTTTAAAAATACAAAAGGATGAAACAATAGTGTACGTTCTTTTGGCAAAAACAGAGAGATCTGCATACTTACTACTCATGAAGCTATTGAGAAATCGATTGGAAAAGCTTGTGATAGTATCTAAATTTATTAACATGACGTTCTTTAAAAGCAAGTCTCAAAAGTCTTTCAAAAAAGAGACAGATATTGGGAAAACTGTTCAGCAAATTTAAACTCCCAATGTTGTTTGGAAATAGTAAGTCTCGTACAAAACAGAGTAAGGAAGAAAATTACCATCATTTCCACATCTAAAACAATTTTGAAAAAAAACTTTAAATCCGGTAAAAGAATTTAAAATCAAGAAGTTAATATTTAGAAAGGACAACACAAAAGTCTCAAAATTCTTTCAAAAAAGAGACAGATATCGGGAAAACTGTTTGACAAAGAACTTTTAAAACAGAGAGATAATTACACAAGAGGAGAAAACAAAAGTTTAAGATTTTTGGTAAAACAATTAGATTGCAGCAAACCTTCTGCTCATAAACCTATTGAAAAATACATTGAAAAAACTTGTGACAGAACCTAACAAAATTTGCATGAAATTCTTTAAAAGCAAATTTAAAGTCCCAATGTAGTTTGTAACATAGTAGGTCCCATATAAAACAGAGTAAGCAGAAAAAATGCCCAAGATTTGCAACAGTTGGAAAAACTTTAAATCCTATTACTTGAAGACAGAAAACTTAAAATCAAGAATTTAATATTTAGAAACGACAAAATAAAAGTCTCAGTTCTTTAAAACAGAGATGGATTAGGAAATCTCTTTAACAAAGACCTTAAAAGAAAACAAAAGGAATAAACCAAAAGTTTACATTTTTTTGGCAAAAATAAAGAGACATTGGCAAACTTTCTGCTCATAAAACCTATTGAAAAATAGATAGAAAAACTTTTGAGAGAATAAAAAATAATTTGCATGATGTTCTTTAAAAGCAAACTTAAACTCCCAATGTTGCCTAAAAAATAGTAGGTCTTGTGGGTACAAAACAGAGTAAGGCATAAAATTGCCAAAATTTGCATCATTTGGATACAACTTTGGAAAAAAACTTCATATCCAGTTACTCAAAGACAAAAAAATTGAAATCTAGAAGCTAATATTTTAGAAAGGACTAAAACATATTAACTCAAAGTCTCACAATTCTTTAAAACAGATAGAGAAATTAAGAAATCTATTTAACAAAGAACTTTTAAAACAGAGATAAAGGTATCCAAAAAGAGAAAAAAAGTTTAAAGTATTTTTGGGAAAAAAAAAAGAGATATTGGCAAACTTTCTGCTCAAAAACCCATTGAAATATAGATTTAAAAACTTGTGACCAAATGTAAAATATTTTGCGTGACGTTCCTTAATAGCAAATTTGAATTCCCAATGTTGTTTGAAAAATGGTAGGTCTAGTACAAAACAGAGTAAAGAGGAAAAATACCAAGATTTGCAACATTTGGAAACTACTTTGAATAAAAATATTAAATCCGGTTACTTGAAAATCAAGAAGTCAATATTTAAACTGGACAAAACATATCCGACCAAAAAAAAAAAAAAGAACCTGGAGAAAACAAAAGTCTCATAAAGTTACTAGGAAATCACTTCAACAAAGATCTTTAAAACACAGATATAAGTATGCATACGGACAAGAAAAAAGTTCAAGTTTTTTGGAAATAAGACATACTTGCAAACGTTCTATCAATAAAGCTATTGAGAAATAGATTAGAAAAACTTCTTGTAGAATCTACAATAATTGCATGATGTTCTTTAAAAGCAAATTTAAACTCCCTATGTTGCTTAAGAAATAGTAGGTCTTGTACAAAACAGAGTAAGGAAGAACAAAAAGCCAAGATTTGCAATGGAAAGATTTTGATAAAAAAAACTTTAAATCCTGTTACTTGGAAGACAGGAAAATATAAGATCAAGAAGCTAATATTTAGTAAAATCAAAGTACAAGTCTCGCAATTCTTTCAAACAAAGAGATATTAGGAAATCTCTCTAACAAAGAACTTTTAAAAATACAAAAGGATAAAACAAAAGTTTACTTTGTTTTGGCAAAAGGAGATATTTGCAAACTTACTACTGATAAAGATTATTAAGAAATCGATTGGAAAAACTTGTGATAGAATCTAAAATAATTTACACGGCATTCTTTAAAAGTAAATTAAAATTTCCAATGTTGTTTGAAAATAATAGGTCTTGTACAAGACAATGTAA